CCTCAGCCTTCCAAGTAGCCGGAATTACAGGCATGTGCTACCACGCCTGGCTAATTTTTGGTTTATTATAGAGATGAGGTCTCACCAAGTTGCCCAGGCGGGTCTTGAACCCACGGGCTCAGGCAATCCACCTCAGCCTTCCAAAGTGCGGGATTACAGGCTGAGCCACCGAGCCCAGCTAGGCTAATTTTTGATTGATTGTGGAGACGAAGTCTCGCCAGGTTGCCCGGGCCGGTCTCGAACCCATGGCCTCAGGCCATCCACTCACCTCAGCCTCCCAAAGTGCGGGATGACAGGCTGAGCCCCCGAGCCCGGCCTCCACACAAACTTTTAAAAAGGAGTTTCGCCAGTAGGGTGCCCGTCCCCCGGCACACACGGCCGCCATGTGGCATGGCCCAACTGCCGCCAAGCAGAGGGCGACGAGAGCCAGGCCCCGAGGGACCCAGAGCGCTGTGTCCTTCCCTGGGCCTGACTCGGGCCTGGACGGCGCTCCAAGGTGCTTTGCTGTACGCGTGTGCGGCATGCTGACACGCCAGGGTTCGGGGTGACCCCAGCAGGCTGGCCGTGGCCTGTACACAGGGAGGTCCACGTGCTGTTGCCTGAGTGGCACCGAGACAAGGCCATCTTGGACGACCCGGGTGGGCCCTGAATCCAGGGACGATGGCAATGACAGGAGAGGAGAGACGACACAGGGGAGACGCCACCCAAGGAGCCCTGAGGAGGCTGAGGAGGGCCGGAGGGCACCAAGGAGGGCCAAGGATTGCCAAGGATGTCCAAGATGGCCGGCCCACCAGAAGCCAGGAGGGCCTGGACAGAGCCTCCTTCCGCCTGCGAGGACACCCTGCCCACAGCGTTGCCACTGTGTCTTCTTCCCTGTGACTGTGTCCGAGTCACCCGCCATCAGATCAGGGCTCCCAGCTGACTGTGAGCTTCACTTCATGACATCTGCAAAGCCCCAGCTGGTGAGGGCCAGGTGAGGCCACAGGGTGAAGAACTTTGTGAACAGGAGACTTGGGGGACACCCAGGACACATCTAGGCAGGGCAGGCCCCAGGGGCTGGTCCCAATCTCGCCCGTGCCGAAGCCACGACTCGCCAGGACCTGCTGGCTGCTCTCGGCCACCCCGGTCCCCGTCTGCCTCTCCTGAGCCTCTTCTTCGTGGAGTGGGGACAGGGACAGGTCCGCCCCACAGTGGGCGGTGAAATAAGCCCCACGTGGCTCCCGCCCACAGCGCAGCCCTGCCTCACCTCCCCTGCACTGTCACTGCCAGGGCGATGGCACCGTGGCAGACCCGGGGTGGCCGCCGAGCCCACCCTTCTCGACGCACGCGCCCTCCTGAGAGCAGGGACTTGGCTGTGACAGAGAGGAAAGACGCCTGTGAGGCCTCTGGGCGGGGCAGGGTGGGGTGGCCACCAACACAAGAGGAAGTGCCGAAACGGGAAGTCACAGAGGGGGCAGGGGAGCGAGGGCGCCTGTCCCCGCCAGAGCTGGCAGTCCTGCTGTCCTGGGGGGGTGACACGCACCCCGGCGTACGGTCAACAGCCATTCATAACGCCGTGACAAGCCCCAGCAGGCTGCTGTTTTTCCTTAAATGGCCGGAGTTGGCGTCTTTTCCTGTGACCAACCAGTCCTGCCCTGTCCCATCTCTCAAGGCCCAGCTCGGGGCTGGAGGAGTCACCTGCGGCTGCTGTGCCAAGTCACCACAAACGTAAGGGCTCAGACAACACGGATGGATCATTAGGAAGCTCTTTTTCTTTTCTGAATTGGAGTCTCACTCCATCGCCCAGGCTGGAGTGCAGGGGCACGCTCACGTCCACTGCAGCCTCGACCTGCTGGGCTCAGGCGATCCTTCCACCTCAGCCTCCCAAGTAGCTGGAACTGCAGGCGCGCACCACCACGCCTGGATAATTTTTTTGCTTTATTGGAGAGGTGAGGCTTCCCCAAGTTGCCCAGGCTGGTCTAGAACCCCTGGACTCGGGCAATCTTCTCACCTCCACCTCCAGAAGTGCTGGGATTACAGGTGTGAGCCACAGCGCCCAGCCCACCATCAGGAAGTTCGCCGCCTGGCCAACATAGTGCATATACAGGGAGCTGGGAGGACCCAGGTCCACGGTGACCAGAAAGGCCTGACCGTCCCCAGAGCCATCAGGGGCCTGTGGCTGCCGCTCTTCCAGCCACCTGGACTCACACGCGAATGGGCGGCTCACACTTCACACTGTCTTCACTTTACAGAGGCGAAAACCGGGGCCCAGCCGGGTCTTTTCAGCACTGTGGATTCTGGGGTGTTCTGGGCCCTGCAGGGGGCACGGCATCCCGGCCTCTGCCCCTCCATGCCAGGAGCACCCCAGGCGTGACGCACCACACGTCCCCGGCATCGCCCCGAGACTCCTGGGGGCAGAATCGCCCCGAGTCAGACCCCCGAGTTAGGGGACTCCCCAGACCCCCAAGAGCCTCTTGTCCCAGGACCCGGGAGGCTGCACACACGCAGAGCCACACACAGAGGGAGAGGAGGGCGTCCCAGGAACTGGGTCCCCTGGTCTACACCGCCTGCTCCCTCAAGATTGATTCTGAGGTCTGGTGCGAGCAGAAAGCAGACTTGACATTTATCTTTTCCAGATACCGAACTCAGGGCCTCCCTCGAGCAGCGCGGACATCAGGGCCGGGTCATTCCCTGGGGGGGCACCCTGAGCCCTGCAGGGTGTCAGCAAGGTCCCCGGCCTCCAGCCTTTCCATGCCAGGGCACCCACGCCCCTCCCCAGACGCTGCCTGGGGTGACACCACAGATCGCCGGTGAGACCCGTGGGGCAGGAGATGACGCTGACTCTTGTTTTGTTCGTTCGTTTGTTTCTGAGTTGGAGTCTCACTCGGTTACCTGGGCTGGAGTGCATGGCACGCTCACGGCCGCTGCAGCCTCTATCTCCTGGGCTCAGGCGATCCTTCTGCCTCAGCCTCCCAAGGAGCTGGAACTACAGGTGCGTGCCACCACACCCAGCTAATAATTATTTTTTATTTATTGTAGAGATGAGGTCTTGCCAAGCTGCCCAGGCTGGTTTTGAACCTCTGAGCTCAGATAATCCTCTCGCCTTCGCCTCCCAAAGTGCCGGATGACAGGTGTGAGCCACCACACCTGGTGGCACTGACTCTTATGTTGTCACTGCCAGCCACATGGCTGGGAGGATGGACCACAGTGTGAGTCCAGGACTCCAGATGAAGCCGCTGCTCCCTCCTCCCACACGTGACCCCCAACATGCCAGCTCTGGGATGCGGCTGCACCCTCTGGTCCCCAGTCACCAACCCGTACCGCCAGGGCCAGGGCTGCGTGGCCACGCGTCTTCCCACGCTGGGCACTGAGCCGTGTGGATGCTCCGTGGCCCGAGTCCAGGGGTGACTGAGACCCCAGCACCCGCCAGGTCCCCTGTCCGCTGGCCATGGAGGGAGCCACCCTGCAGCCCAGATCAGACCCGCCCTGGAAGTGCCAGGCTCTAAGAGGCCACCGTGTGCTTGTCCCGTCACCAGGGCTGGCAGCCAGGGCACTCCCACTGGGGCAGAGCAAGGGGGAGCCCAGGTGGGGACCCCATGGCCCTTCACCTGCAACTGCCGACCACCCAAGCGCTCTGCAAACCAGAGCTGCCCTCAGGTGTCCAGTTCAAGGTTGAAAAAACAAACCCTCACACCTGTCATCCCAGCTTCTCAGGAGGCTGAGGAGGGAGAATCGCTTGAGCCCAGGAGGTCAAGACCAACCTGGGCAACACAGCAAGACCCCGACTCGACAAAAAATTTAAAAGTGAACTGGTCACCGGGCATGGTGACATGTGCCTGTAGTTCTAGCTACTTGGAAGGCAGAGGCGGAAGGATCGCCTAAGCCCAGCAGGTCGAGGCTGGGGTGGCTGTGAGCGTGCCACTGCACTCCAGCCTCAGCGACAGAGTGAGACTCCCACGCAAAAAAAGAAGAGCTGAGCCGGGCTCGGTGGCTCAGCCTGTAATCCTAGTGCTTTGGGAGGCCGAGGTGAGTGGACTGCCTGAGCCCGCGGGTTTGAGACCTGCCTGGGCAACCTGGCGAGACCTCATCTCTACAATAAATCAAAAAAACCTAGCCGGGCGTGGTAGCACGCGCCTGTAGTTCCGGCTACCGGGAAGGCTGAGGCGGAAGGATCGCCAGAGCCCAGCAGGTCGAGGCT